TTTTATATATTGACACCAAACTAAAAAGAGTAAGTAAATATTAACTTGGTGAAGTGCAAAACAAGTTTTATTGACCGGTGAGGTAAATATTGACTGAAAGTGAAGCAAATATTTCTGTGCTGACGTTAATGGGACGAATCCCGTTCAACATGACAAACAATATTTTGCCTACTATATTTCTGTGCTTGTAACTATTCTGAAAGTTCTGAGAGGAAATATCTGGAAATCTGTCTACAGTGGTAATGCTTTTTAAAAATGATTGTTTTTCCTTAGCAGGATATGCATTGGATATGGATTTATTGGATAAAATGGATATGCATTCAGAAGGCCAAAATATTTTTGATCTTGTACAAGACAGAGGTTTAATACATTGTTTGCAGACAGAATGCGTTAACCCACTTACTAAAATCTGACCAGGCAACAACATCCAGTGAACTCTGTTTAACTTATCTCTACAAAGGTAAACAGAAAGTTGGTCAGTTTTTAGCCACTCACAAAACAAAACTTTTCTTACACATATAGTGGTAACTAATGACAGAAGATTCTTTATCGCACCGTTTGTTCTGGCTATAGTCCATCGAGTAAAACTTTTAATGGCAGACAATCTTGATAATTACAAAGAACCTCAAAAAATAGACTTTTTTTTCTGTGAGCGAGAGGCTGCCATCCTATCAGAACACAGACAAAGAGCAGTTACATTAGTACCTACAGGAAGCAATACCTCACCCTGAGGTACCAACAGAACCAGCTGCAGTAAAAGAGGGTTTGCTCCTATTGACAATTTGCCACAGAAGCTCCCCCCCCTCAAATCATTCCCACTATAAAACACAAACCAGCCTAAATTAATAAACCAATATAACTTTTAAACATTTCCATTTAGTGAGTAATGTTAGAACATTTATTTGGGTTTTGAACCGAAAATATATTGATATTTACCAAGGAAAATATACAATAATTAAGGATATACCTATAAGCAGGTACTGCAGACCAAATATAATTTAACAAATCTAACCCTTCCTAGTAAATCCCCTCAGAGTGCATTTTAACATACATGAGACCTCATTTTTCAATGGAACAATTCACACATGGATTCACACATTCAGATTAAGACATTAGATGATAGGAAAAAAAAGATTACTTTTGAGTAACTTCAAAGATTCTATTGAAAATTCTGGCACCTTTAAGCACACCCACTAGAGAATACTAATGTCTTACACAGTGGATGATCATTACAGTGCATCTTCTGACCTAAATACCTTCGTAATGGTCTTACCACAGCAATTAACACACACCTTCTAAAATTCTTTAACAGCTGGATGTTTTTCGAGTAATTGTATTTAACAGATCCTTCAATGTCACTACAAGAAAAGACCAGTTCAGAAAACAGCTTCTCCACTTCATTCTAATGACCATGGGAATCGCTCTTTCTGGTGGATAAAGACAGAGGCTGAGCACCCTCCTGTGCAGTGAGCAAAAATTACAACTGCCCTTTGTGGCTCCACTATCTAATTTTCATTCAAGGCTCTATCTATACACAAAACCCGAGACTCCGGGATCTAATTCACCAGTTTTAAAGCAATTATATGACACCATTTCAGTGGAACTACTCGCAGTTTAGAATGACTTAACAGAAATGAGCACACTGCCGTACACAGAGAGCTAGTAAGATTTCTGGAAACCTCAGGGAACAAGATGATGTCATTGCATTACAAAAATATATAGTTCAAATTCTTGGTGAGTCTGCTTGACAAAGCTTACATGACCAGACTTCAACAGTGAAATTCAGGCTCCTCTGCCATCACTCCAGTGATGAGTTTTCAAAACTGGTCTCTATCCTTCAGTGTTTTAAACATGGGAGCGCAAGAGCTATTTTCTTGTGCCCAAAATTCAACCTGAAGTAAAGGTTGTATAAATGCAAACCCTGTTTTTTAAAAAGACTGAGCATTCAAATCTCAGGAAGCATTCAAATTGTAAAGGTCATTTGAGCCTCTTGACAAGGCTTTCAAATCCTTCAGACAATTTAAACTAAACCCCCTTAATTTTGCAAAAATCTTCCATACTCAAGTAACATTTTGTGTAGAATGAAAACAACCAATAAAGCCTTTGAATATTCAGGACATTCTGCTATTTTACTCTTGCAAGGAAACAATTTTTTATCATACCATTAACTACAATTTCTTTCCGTGTATCTGAGATCAGTTCCTTTAAATTTCATCAAAGATGTCTGCTGTACATCGAATTTTCAAGGACTAGTTTCTCCCACAACTTCTGATGAAAAACAGTGATATAACAGTTTATTATGAGGAAAAAAAAATATGAAGATTGTAATCTCTTAAATTGTTCTACGCAGGAATACTTCTGCGAAGCTCCTTTGGGAATTAGGACTAGGATGCAAAATGTTTTCTTCGAATATTTCTATGCATAGAACCATCTCTCAACAACTTTTAGTACAGTGTAGCTGTTGAAAAGGTAAGCCATAACCCCCAGAGTTCCATGAGCATCTCAGTTTTTAGCCACTCACAAAACAAAACTTTTCTTACACATATAGTGGTAACTAATGACAGAAGATTCTTTATCGCACCGTTTGTTCTGGCTATAGTCCATCGAGTAAAACTTTTAATGGCAGACAATCTTGATAATTACAAAGAACCTCAAAAAATAGACTTTTTTTTCTGTGAGCGAGAGGCTGCCATCCTATCAGAACACAGACAAAGAGCAGTTACATTAGTACCTACAGGAAGCAATACCTCACCCTGAGGTACCAACAGAACCAGCTGCAGTAAAAGAGGGTTTGCTCCTATTGACAATTTGCCACAGAAGCTCCCCCCCCTCAAATCTTTCCCACTATAAAACACAAACCAGCCTAAATTAATAAACCAATATAACTTTTAAACATTTCCATTTAGTGAGTAATGTTAGAACATTTATTTGGGTTTTGAACCGAAAATATATTGATATTTACCAAGGAAAATATCTAAAATATATTGAACCTAAAATATATTGATATTTACCAAGGAAAATATAAAATAATTAAAGATATAACTATAAGCAGGTACTGCAGACCAAATATAATTTAACAAATCTATCTAACCCTTCCTAGTAAATCCCCTCAGGGTGCGTTTTAACATACATGAGATGTCATTATTCAATGGAACAATTCACACAAGGATTCACACATTCAGATTAAGACATTAGATGATAGAAAAAAAAGATTAATTTTGAGTAACTTCAAAGATTCTATTGAAAATTCTGGCACCTTTAAGCACACCCACTAGAGAATACTAATGTCTTACACAGTGGATGATCATTACAGTGCATCTTCTGACCTAAATACCTTCGTAATGGTCTTACCACAGCAATTAACACACACCTTCTAAAATTCTTTAACAGCTGGATGTTTTTCGAGTAATTGTATTTAACAGATCCTTCAATGTCACTACAAGAAAAGACCAGTTCAGAAAACAGCTTCTCCACTTCATTCTAATGACCATGGGAATCGCTCTTTCTGGTGGATAAAGACAGAGGCTGAGCACCCTCCTGTGCAGTGAGCAAAAATTACAACTGCCCTTTGTGGCTCCACTATCTAATTTTCATTCAAGGCTCTATCTATACACAAAACCCGAGACTCCGGGATCTAATTCACCAGTTTTAAAGCAATTATATGACACCATTTCAGTGGAACTACTCGCAGTTTAGAATGACTTAACAGAAATGAGCACACTGCCGTACACAGAGAGCTAGTGAGATTTCTGGAAACCTCAGGGAACAAGATGATGTCATTGCATTACAAAAATATATAGTTCAAATTCTTGGTGAGTCTGCTTGACAAAGCTTACATGACCAGACTTCAACAGTGAAATTCAGGCTCCTCTGCCATCACTCCAGTGATGAGTTTTCAAAACTGGTCTCTATCCTTCAGTGTTTTAAACATGGGAGCGCAAGAGCTATTTTCTTGTGCCCAAAATTCAACCTGAAGTAAAGGTTGTATAAATGCAAACCCTGTTTTTTAAAAAGACTGAGCATTCAAATCTCAGGAAGCATTCAAATTGTAAAGGTCATTTGAGCCTCTTGACAAGGCTTTCAAATCCTTCAGACAATTTAAACTAAACCCCCTTAATTTTGCAAAAATCTTCCATACTCAAGTAACATTTTGTGTAGAATGAAAACAACCAATAAAGCCTTTGAATATTCAGGACATTCTGCTATTTTACTCTTGCAAGGAAACAATTTTTTATCATACCATTAACTACAATTTCTTTCCGTGTATCTGAGATCAGTTCCTTTAAATTTCATCAAAGATGTCTGCTGTACATCGAATTTTCAAGGACTAGTTTCTCCCACAACTTCTGATGAAAAACAGTGATATAACAGTTTATTATGAGGAAAAAAAAATATGAAGATTGTAATCTCTTAAATTGTTCTACGCAGGAATACTTCTGCGAAGCTCCTTTGGGAATTAGGACTAGGATGCAAAATGTTTTCTTCGAATATTTCTATGCATAGAACCATCTCTCAACAACTTTTAGTACAGTGTAGCTGTTGAAAAGGTAAGCCATAACCCCCAGAGTTCCATGAGCATCAGTGTTTGTTCTAATATTGTCTCATGAATTTAACAACCACGGGGAAAGTAGCAATACACTGATGGAATCTGCTGATAGCATCAACTGAGGAGGTAACCCCTATACCTAGGAGGATGAGAAAGTCTAGGATACTTATATCTGAGCATATATACACCTGAAAACATGCCTGGACACAACTATTCAGCTGTTTGTATGAAATTTATGGGCACCCTGGAAGGAGAGTCCAAAATACAGATCGGTAAATTTATTATTAGGTATTACATAACCTAATCTATGCACTACCCATGGGAACAGACTTCCAATTTTATGTTAATAATCTCTGAAATCTTTCTTGTGTCAGGAGTTACTAAATCCAGAGTTCATTAGCAGCAGCATGAAAACATACCTGTTAAATAACAACACCACTGAAGAGTTACATACCTTCTAATGAGCTGTGAATTGGAGATAAATCAGCAAGCGACCTGCATGAGCAAACATTATTGATTAATAAGCTGCCACGAATTAATTTCATATTTGCAGTGCATGTAACAATGAGACACAGTTTGAGAACAACTTTGATTTTAAACTACATTTGTACTTTAATGCATGTTGTAATTATAAAAAAGAAACAGCTGAATGAGGCTTTTATATTTATACACTTCCAAGCAACTTACAGAAGGCATGCATAATTTGCAATCATAAAACACTATTTAAAAATAAAAGATTTATAATCGCTTTTTCTGATTCGAGAATCAAATTAAGATTTTTCACATTGTCCTTCATAATCCAAACACTATGTGAGTGACTAACTGAGCAAAGAGTAGGAGAGTGAACAATATGGCACAGCATAAGTCAAACACAACAGTTTTGTGTTATCCTTGGAAGGATGGGGATATAGTCATTTAACTCTTAGAGTGCTTCCAGACGAGCATCTGAAATCTGCATTGGTGCTGCTGTTGAGCAGTATTGTGATAATTAAAAGTACTGTACAAATTAGGTCTTCTGAGTTCAGAGGCCTAGAGGAACAGGAGGCTTGTGGGTTTGTTTCATAGTGCAGTGTATCTGTAATAACCAGCCCAGGTTTCTTCCAAATCATCAGCCACAGCCCAAGTGAAATGCAGAGGATATGAGGCCTGAAATTTCCAGTCAAGAAATTCTCGATACAGGTTCCAAAAACATCATAAAAGTAGACTGAATTGCTGCAGATGCCTCCTCAAAACCTACCTCCAACAGAAACAGAGGTGTGTCCAGTGCTTTCAGCTTCTTCCTCAAGTATAAAAGAGAAGGTTTATAGTTAGGCATATGTTACTGAACACCAGGCCACTTACTTCTTCCAAACACTATCTTTCACCTCATGAGGTCTGATGTCTAAGTGCCCATCCTCCCCCTCTCCCAGGGTTACTGACCCCACAGCATTTCTGCATTTAAAACTTTGAGTTAAAACAGTGTTTCTAACTCAGAACAACACAGAACTGCTCAGATATTAAGCACCGGTTTAAGTGTGAGCTGCATACCTAAACACTTCTAGAGAAATATCCGAGCCAAGGAAAACAGATGCCATTTCTGGATGCAAACTAATTTATTCAAGAGAGTATTTTGAAAGAAAACCCTGTATCTATTTAATTTCAAGCTTCTCCTAAGAGCTACAGCAGCATTAAGTAGGGCAGCGTTTTCCTCAGGTTTCCTAGGAGGCAAAGCCAATTTCCAGACAGCAGGACTTCCCTGCGGTGAGCGCTAATCACCACCGAGAAATAATAATACTGCAGTACGTATACATTTTTACATACATTTCTTAATTTCCTTCGTGCCTTAATTTCCTTATTGCCTTCCCAAGTTAATTTTAATTGAGGCTTTAAATAAAAAGCAACAGGAACCACTGCCCCCCCTCACCCCCCCCCCCCGGTTTGGCGGGCCCAGCCCTGAGGCGAGTTCCCCCCTCACCGCCCCACAGGGGCCCCCCCCTCGGCCGCGAAGGCCTCGACGAGCCGCGGCCGCTCGTCGTCACAGCAACCCCCCCAGCTCCGAGCCTTCCTCCTCCTCCTCCTCCTCCTCCTCCTTCCCTCACGGCTCCTCCTCTTCCTCCCCCCGCCGCGCCCTCTCCCACCCACTCGGCCTCGGCGGCGATGGAGGCGGCGGGCGGTCGCGGCCTGGGCAGCAGCGGCGGCGGGCGGGAGGTACCGGCCGCCTGATGAGGTACCGCCGCCGGCCCGGTGTGAGGGGTGGGCGGGACAAAGGGGCTCCCCGACGGCCGCTTCCCCTCAGAACTGGGGCGGCGGGGGCGGGGGGAAGGAAGCGGGGACTTCGCCTCCAGGGTCACCCCCCTCCGTGAACAGGGGCTTCTGTGGGGGCCGGTGGGTGCCCCCCTACCCCCGGCGGCAGAGCCCTGCCCGCCGCCGCTGAGGCGGCTCTGGCTCCGGCGGGGCCCGGCCGGGCCCGGGAGAGGCCGCCGCGGCCCAGGGGGAAGCAGCGGCGGCCCCAGGAAGAGAAGGGAAACGTTGGAAAAGTGCTTTTATCAAAGGACTTAATTTTATCTCTTTACCGGGAAAGTGGGGGCGAGGAAGAGAAGTTGTGGGAGCCGTTCGCCGCCTGCGGATTTCTTACCCCTTGGAATCCCGTTTAATAACTTAAGTTACTTGAAAGTTTGTCAGGCAGAGCGCCAGGGGAAGCGGCCCGGCTCCAACAATGGGATCGCTCACTTTTTATTTTTTTTTAACACCGAACTGTCAGTTTTTGCAGAAGCAGCCCCCAAACTACCAACTGAAGAGTGCTAATGAGATTTATTCATATATTTTTTTAAATTATTATTCCCCTCCTTTTAAAACCAGCCTTCGTGGCCTGATCCTGCAGGCACACTGAGTAATAATGTTCACACAAGTCAGTGCTATCTCCGGTTTACTCGCTTTATTCATGGGCATAAAGTTACAGAAAGTGAATTTTGGCTGCATTGAGGAATGATGTCATCTTTAGCCAACAAAAATACAGTAGTAGCAGCAGCAGCGCTTCTAAATGGTAGTAAGTTCCTGTACTCATTTTTTAAATCAATGCAATTTACTCTTCTAATATAATCTCCATTGTAAAGGGTAAAGAATTCTAGGTTTGTGCATATATATATATTAAAAACTTCTTGCTGTGCAAATCCAATTTTGCTTTAACCTTTTTGCAACCCCAGTGAAACCAGCTGTGTATACACACTAAGATTCCGGAAAAAAACAATTTCAAAGAGGAATCAGGAAGAGTTTGCATTATAGAAAAAGGATTATAAAGAAATTCCCAATGTTTCAATAATATTATGTGATAGCGACAAGTATTGTGCCAAATCCAAAGCATTCCCCAAAATCGTTACTCTCACATCACACCAGTCCAGTGAAGTAGGTTTAACACGATTTGACCGATGTCAAATTCACTTCACACAGAAGTGAAAAACTGCCCAGGAAGACAACAAAAAGATGCGGAAAGAAAGATAAGTAAGACCTCATTTGTGTGGTCTCGCTGTTAGATCACTGGTTGTTGGCTGCACTTCCTTTTTTTCACCTAGACCAGATGGCCCAGGCTCTTTTAAATGCTTCTTACAAAATGGAACTAACCTGGTTCTGCTCACTTACCCAGACAGGATAATCTCCTTAATCTCATAATGGCCCTTAATTTTGAGCATGCACTAGCTTTTGACTAGACTTGTCTGAACAAATGCTTACCGTTTTATGGATGCATGTAAATGTATGCTTTCCTTCCTTCCCATCATTGTTTGCTCCTTCTCTGGCCTGCTACTGTTACTATTTTTGTGAAATTATGCAGCACTTCTGAGGATCTCTTCTGTACAAGCTAGTGCTGGTCTCCTCTTCAGCAGCTTGTGCTGTTCTGATCTGTGCTGGAGCAACTTCGGATTTTAATAAGGCAGCCAGGTTCACTGCTGGAGAGAAAGTCTGCACGTGAATGAAAGGAAGTCAAAAAGAAATCTGGCAAAAAAAGACGAAATACGGCAAAAAGAAAGTTGTCCCATGGAAGGAGGGTGCAAACACAGGGTGCCAGCTTTCAGAACGCAGACAGTCTGTCAGAAATCATGCAAGCAATCACTCAGTGCAGTCTCTGTCAGAAATCATGCAAGCAATCACTCAGTACAGTCTACAGCATTTTTGTATTGTTGTTGTTTGGTTTGGTTGTGGTTTTTTTTGTTTTTACCCTGAACTAGTTATCACTTCCTTCAACTGTAAGTTTTTTATATCCTACTTTAGGAGACAAAATAGCAAGAATCTGGACCAGAAGCAAAATCCCACCATGCAACCAAACTGCGGTCACCTCCACAACATCCAAGGGAGTGGTGATGACTCTTCACCTTCTCAGAGCGCCCACGCAGGGAGGTTGTCGGGAGAGAGCTCGTGCCACCCCGGCGGAGACGTCCGCATACAGCTCAGCTCTGCTGTGGGAGACACCAGAGACAGCTCCCGGCATTCCAGGCCAGGATCCCAAAATCGCTCCCAGGGACATGCCCCCAGCGAAGCCGTGGGGCTGGAGGACACCGCTCCAGACTCTGAGGAACACGGCGGCAGCTCCCTCTCAGAGCTCAGATACCTCCTCCCGTGGCTGCACAAAAGTCTGCCATATATCTTGATTCTGTGTGTCAAACTGATCACCCAGCACATAATTGGTAGAGTATAACAAAATAAGGTCTGAGAGAATAGATCCCTCCCTCTCCCAAAGAGATACACTAATAACCGTGCCTGAAATATAATTCAATTTATTTTTAGCTTTATTTTTATTTGCTTTATTCATCAGAAAGAGAGATTTACTAAACTACATTTCGGTGGCTTCTGTTTCCTTTGCTGGCATACGTACGATGTGCTTAATTATTCTGCCTTGTTAGTCTGAGCTATTAATTGTAATTACAAAGACATATTAGAAATGGCTGATTTTTTTTAATCCAGTTCAGTAATTTTTTTTTTTTTATTTTATTTTCTTGTGTATAACTGACCCTTTTTTCCTAATAGGCATTTCTCTTGGAATTGGGCTGCTAACAACTTATATGTATGCAAACAAAAGCATAGTAAATCAGGTTTTTCTAAGAGTAAGTATCACCCAACAAAATTCTGTAAGTTAACCAAGAGGTTTCCTCCTCTCTCCCCCCCACCCCAACTTTGACTATTGAAATCACTTCAACTGATAAAAGCTTTTTGCAATTTATGGAAAAAGTTCTTAACTGTATTTTTGGGATCAAATAGCAGTTGACCGTTTAAACTTTCAGCTGTCTCTGTTCATTCCCAAAGGAAAATTTGTTGGTTTTTTAGAGTGGGGTAGGTTTTGGTTGTGGTTTTAGAAAACACCTGGTTACACATAGAAATTGTTATGTTGAAAACATTAAAATTCCTGCTTTGCCTTTCCATTGAGTTCTCCTATTTTATTTGGCCTGAAACCACTAAGATAAAATCCTCTAGTAGTAAAACCCCTTTCAGTGCAACGGCCTTAGTGCTTCGGAGATATATTGAGGACACTGATCCTGAGATACGGGCTGTAATTCATCTTTCCAATGTTCTTACAGGAACGGTGCTCCAAGCTGCAATGTGCTTGGTTACTGGTGTACCTAACTGGATCAGCTCTCCTCCTGTATTACACCTTCCATTCCCAGTCACTGTACTACAGGTGAGTAGAGGAACATCTTGACTCACGACATAAATTACACAAATATTAACTGGGAACATTTTATCTGGGCTGCTGCTGGTTTTCTTTAATTGTGGCATTAGTTTCTCTTTAATTTTAATCTCCATTCCTCCTTTTCTGCCAAACTGAGCAGGTCCTTAAAACCAGTATGTTGGAATATGTAAGATTAGACCCCATACTGAGCTCGATGGCGGTGCTGTGCCATGGGGGATGTACCTGGGTTTGACTCCGAGCTTTGACCCTACCTCCTTGCCTTCAAAATACCAACTGGGGCATTCTGGGGCTCTGTGGAGCTACAGTTTTGGCTGGAAATCATTCAAAGGCTGTTTTGCTAAAAAGGGAAAGCAAGCCTGTCTCTAGAGGATGGGTGTTGTGGCGAAGATATAGGAAAGAAGGTTCAAAAACGGAAAGGTTGTCAGAGACCATAAGTGATCAATTTACAATTAAAGAGTTCCTTTTCTTAGCAAATATATTTCCTCTGTGTAAACCAGGTTTCCTTTTATAATTAAACCTGCCGTGATAATCTCTGGTTATGCTTTCCTCTAAATAGGGTCCTCCAGTAACTTCTGATAATTCTTTTTGTAGCTTAATCTTCTTAAACCCTACTGTGGATTTTAAGAACTTCTGGGAGGTACTTTGGATTGTGGGAGTCACAGACTTCATTCTGAAATTCCTCTTCATGGGCTTCAAGTGCTTTATTCTCTTGGTGCCTTCTTTTATGATGTCCTTTAAATCCAAGGTAAGGAAACAAGCTATATTTTTGCTTCCTTATGAAGATTCTTTTATGGTTAAATGAGCTAATTATTAAACTCTACCCAGAGAAAAGTCTTTTTAATTAAAGGTCTGTATATAATCTACCACTACACCGTGGGTGAGAAAACCCTGTGGATTTCGTGTTCTTCCCTGCTTGGTGCTAGGGAAGGTTTACAGTCTGTTCTGAAACAATTGCTTGTATGATGTCATTGGATAAATGGGTTTATTTCTGTCTCTAAGTGGGGGGGGATGAAGAAACCTTTTATTTGCTGCAGTGCAGGAATGTGTACACAGGCAGTGAGCACGGAGCAGCCAAAAACAGCAAATTTTTTTATGTGCTCTACAGTAACTGACATGGGAAGATTTTAAGATCTGTGCATGCAAACAGCTGTTTTTTCTGTCTCATCACAAAATAATTCTGAATTTTCTTTTTGTTAATAAG